ATCATCGTCGTCATCAGCATCATCGTCATCATCGTCGTCATCAGCATCATCGTCATCGTCATCGTCGTCACCATCGTCATCATCATCGTCATCGTCATCATCATCATCGTCATCATCGTCATCGTCATCATCATCGTCGTCATCGTCCTCATCCTCATCCCATCCTCATCCCATCCTCATCCCATCCTCATCCCATCCTCATCCCATGCTCATCATCATCATCATCATCGTCATCCTCATCATCATCTCATCACGAACGTCATTATCGACCGCAGCATGTTTTCGCAGTGTTACTGCTGTTGGCTGATATTGATCTTGACGGTCATGGTGGTGAAGATGGTCATCGCCACTACGAACCTGGAAGGTCGTCGAAGAAATCCCAAACCCACCGCCTTGGACTCTAACCCCCTCAGCCCTGTACAGCGAATGGGTAGTCCGTCCCGCCAGGTTGGTGACTGCTTGCTGCGTGTCAACGGCCAGGCTCCCAGGTCATGGAAACGGGAGTTTGCTAGAGTTAGGGTTTCCTTTTTGGGGTTTTCTTTCCTTGGGTCTCTCCGCTCAGGGTCCTACTCTTTCGTTTCTGTTTGAAGAAGCTGGTGTTATCTGAAATTACCGAAGAGCCAGGGACCAAAAGTAGCATTGGAAGAATTCAGAGCAATAGTAATGCCAGTTTTCCATCGTGGGAATGCTGGTAATGTTAGCAGTGGCGGTAACAACAGTCACCACGGAGCGGTCAACACTACTAGCTACCAGTCCCAGTTGCTGTAAGAGTAGTGGCAACCCTTACGTCTAGAATCAGGGCCAAGAGAAGCCTCTCAGAGACGCAGCAATTCAGGCCTTGACATGGCCATGATGACCGAGAAGCAAATCGGAGATCTTCTGAAACAGCGGCCATTAGAGCTGCGCTTTGGAGACGAATAGCGGGCCCTTCTTTGAGGCGAGTCCTCGCCCGTCCGAGCAGAGAGAAAACGCTGTGAATCCACTGCCCGTGACTTGGATTACCATGATTATTATTGTTATCATTATTGTTCTGATTCTTATTATTAGTACAAGTATTAGTACTATTGTTATTATTACGCATACTATGATTACCATTAGCATTGCAGTTTTCCAGTCTGGAAGTCACGACGAGTCGAGCGCAGCCGTCAGGGAGTTCGCTCCTGCGCTCATGCTGCTGGTTTTGGTGTTTGCTCGGCTACATCTACTCGGGGATCCGACGCACTTCGTGTTTCTTCTGCGATGATGTCATGCTTGGTGCCATTGCAGGAGATTCTACGGGAAATCCTGTTGCAAGTCCTGAGCGAGGCGTCGGCGGCGAGAGCTTCAGAACTTGGACTAAACTAAGCGACTGTTTCTGTTTACGACGATGATGTGGAGGTGCAGGTGAAGGATGTTGAGCTTGTGTGCACCTCGCTGCGCCCAATCAGCATCTTCGACCTTGCGCCAGCTGTGTTGGAAGGCAGGGCAGGCTTTGCCGAAGTGGTCACAGCCGGCAAAGATTTGTCGCTTGCAGATCGAAATTCAGTGGCCTTCGCCTTCAAGGTGGGGGATGTACAAGCTCTACAAGCAATCAGAGAGAAATGAAGATGCGAAGGTGTCGGCTTCCGATCCCAACGACCTCGAGCCAGTGCGCGAGATGCTGCTCCTCGAGGAATCCAAGCAGTCCAAGCATGTCCAAGCATCGGCGGAAGCGATGCCTTCGCCTTCGACCTGGGAGGCGGAGTCCGGTGGGGCGCGCCACCTCCTACCACTTCTGGTGCAGAAGGCCGCTCCTTGAGCCGCTTGCGCCTGCAGAAAGGGCCGCAGGCCCCACAGAAAAACAGACACCGACGCCGTGCACGGTGAGCGCTTGACCCTACAGTTATACCCCTAGCTATCGAATCCATCGATCGATCAGTCAGTCAGTCATTCAGTCAGTCAACTACCCCAGCGAGCGAGCGAGCGAGAAAGCGAGACACAGACCCCCACGTAAGACTTCACCGGCCTGCAATTCGGAACTTAGAGGCGGCTCAATTAGCTTGTCCAGTCTTCTCAGCGTACTTTGAGCGCAGCAGCTGCGAACGTCTTGCAGCCCCAAGAGCATGTGCGTGTCTTCCTTCGCCCTCAGCCTCCGGGTTGACCCGATGTGCTTGTTCATTTCCTGCGCACCACACCCTTTCCACACCTTTCGCTCTCCTTCTCCCTCGGCCTGTGCGTGTGCATGTGTGCATGCCTATAATGAGTGTTGTTGCTTTCCAGCTCTACGACGAAGACCTCCTGACGCCACACCTGAAGGCTCGCAGTCGATGTTTGTGCACGGTCGCAATCTCCGGCTCACCTGCACGGGCACAGGTGCGCATGGAGGTAGGAGAAGATCCCTGAGGCCGGCCCGGCTGTACAGCGAGGGCACAAGGTGCAGAGCTGTTGGAATTCGGAAGCTTAGTTTGCCCCAACAGTTCAGGCGTGAGTTTGCTTGTCCATCCTGTTTGCCTAGAACAGCTCTGTCACCTGCCTTTGGAGCGACTGCCATGCTGATTCAGCCAAAAGCATGCGAGTGTTTCTCTCGCACAGTCGAAACCCCAAGCCCAAGCCTCAAGCCTTCAAGCCCTGAAATTATGAAGCCTTGCTATGTCTTGCTTCTTGATTGAAGGGGCACAGCCTTCGCCATCAGACTAAACTCAAAGCCTAAACTGAAGGTGGCCAAAACGAGAGAACCTGTGCTTGCTTGAGCTGACATTTTCGGCTCGAGCCGAGTAGTGGTCAACAGTCAACACGAGCGGCAAGACTTTAGTGTTACTGGTGTAGTTTGGTACGGTGTTGCAGCATATATTGTTCCGAGCAACAGCACATGTTTCCGAGCATCTACTTGTTGAACAAGTCTATGGTCTGCTTGTTTTAGCCGTTACTAATACTAATGGGCCAGAGATGCAAAGACATCCTGCCGCGTGCTGGTGAGCAATGGTGTTCTGCCGATCTCACCTCAGTATCCAGATGGCGGCAGCTACTTGTCTCGAGACGAGAGCCTCCTTGAGGTTAGGTCCAGGTGCTTGCTTTGCTGGTCAACCACGATCTTCAGCCTCTTGGAGCCGAGGTTGCCGCCCAGCGCCTTTCTATCCCGAGGCTTCCCAGAGGAGTCTGACAAGGGACAGAAGGATCTAATCGACTTGCTTGGCATGCTCGCAGGCTAGCCGGCGAGAGCTGTCGCGGAGGTCCCTTACTCGCAGAATCTCTTGCAAGCTTCAACAACTCTTTGGCATCTGTTGTTGACTGCAAAAGCCGAGCTTAGGATTTTTCCGGACATGCTGGCCCGGCAACCATGGCAGTGGGCTCCCTGAAACTCTACGTTCCAGCGGAGCCGGAGTGTGGGGAGTCATTCTCCTCCAGGCGTTGGCATGGTGAGCGCGACACGGTCAGCATCATCTTCGAGGTATTGTGTCTGCCGAAAAAGGAAGACCAACGAAAGATGCGTTTTCCTCGCAGCGTTCAGGGCCTGGCCCTCTCCAAGCGAAGAGAAGAGCCAGGTGACCGAGTGCTCTTCGAAAACCTTCCGGTGCCTTGGGGGCCTTAGGTTTAGATCTGCCAGGATGTCGAGGTGAAGGTGCCCGCCGGGGCGGTAGTGGGCTTCGGCCTCAGCGAGCCTTCAACTTCTGGGATCTTCTGGGGCCAGATGCACGAATTGGCCCAGGCGATGTCACAAAAGAGGCAGGCATGGAGGAGAATATCGTTGCATGCGCACTTGAACCTGATGATTGCTATCACCCCGGAGGAGCTTCTCAGAGCGTCTCGTGGTGGAGGAGGTTTCGTGCAATGAGTGCACCTTCAGGGTATTCTGTCAGAATCAGAATCCAAATAGAGGCGGCCTGCGCATTCACAAGAGATGCCACGGCTGCGGCGCCTGGCTTCACTCAAACGCCCATGGCCTAAAACAAAAAGAGCAGAGCATCTAAAACAGCGGCTCTCTTTTGGACCTGTGGCTCTCGGCTGCCTCGGCTCTCAGGACCCCGAAGAGCACGGCTACGTGACCCGGCCCGGTAACGGAGACTTTTGTTTCCCGTAAGGGGGGGGCCCACGGCCGCTTAAAGGAATTCTCGGTGGGCTCCCAGGTGCCCGAGGAGGCACGCGAGAAGTTTTCACTCACGGGCTCGTGCCTCGAATCCCTGTGACAGCCTTCATTGCTGGACTGTTTTGAACGACCCCAGGCCGGAGGAAGGTTCGAGCAACTCCGAAGGGGGTACCTGTGGATGTGCTCCCGCAGGGGGTTGAGGCTGGCTGCTTTGCTCTGGTATGTAAAGGTTTCGTCGAGAAATTATGCCGAGCATGCAGAAAAGTGTTGAGGATCTGCAGTGTGCAGGTGATGCGAGACACGTCGGTGAAGTACAAGGACTAGACTCCAGCTGGCTTTTGCCCGATGAGTGTCGACACGACCGACAAAAAGATGTCTTGAATATTGCCAGGACAGGACGCGTATGTTGGTGTGTCAGCGATGCTACCGATTGCAGCACTATCACAGGCCGCCCACAGTGAGCGGGCGAGACTACCGTGAGTGATGTGACGAAGATGACAGGATGGACACCCCTGTCAAGGGTGGCTTCTACCGCATGGAAGGTGGGCGAGATTGGGAGCATGAGGCCTGAATGAAGAAACTGGAGAAGGATCGTGCAGAGCGCGGACCATGTCAGGCAGAGATCGTGGAGAAGATTGTCCGTCGAATGCGCAGGCCACTCGGTCACTGGCAGTCTGCTACGACCTGTTTTCCATCCCCAAGAAACTAACCTCTCACCGATGATTCGAGCAAGTGTTGTGTGCGGCCGGCTTTGGTTCCAGATTCTCTAGCCAAGTGCATACAGCATCAGAGGCTTGATCTTAATTTGGATGCCCACGACATCCTGCGACATTACGATCGGAGAGACGGCTGGCTTCGGCCACTCGTCACTAGGGTCCACTAGGCATACCAAAACCGGAGCCGCTTACACAAGTAGGACTGAGTAGGTGTTATCGAACCTTAGCTCGTTGATGGTGTGAGTTCATTCGGCACCGCCTTCATGTCAGGTTGGCTCGTGGATGCTCTGTCGCCAGTGCTCGTGCAAGATACTTCTGCTGGCCGCGCTGTCGACACTTTCGCTCATGATCCCGTTGGCTTTTTCGTCAATCTTGGACACCGGTTCCGCTCACATAGACATAGACGATTGGCATTGGGTGGAATCGCAGCATGCGCGGCTCCGTCAAGCTTTCAAACTTTCCAGGAAGGCCTGGCCTTTGCCGGCAAATTGGCAGCCAAAACTCAGTCATGAGCTCGCGCCGATGCGGCTTTCGGTACCACAGGTCCAAAATGCATCCTCTGCCCCTCTGCCCGGCGTTACTATCCGCGAGCCAAAGAATATCTGGCTGTATTGTGCTGCGCAGTGGGAAGAATGTGCTTGCGACGGGAAGATTCGATGGGGCAATGCCGGTTCTTGGCAAGTAGTTCCCTGGTCAGTTGTTACGAAGTCCAACCGAGTTAAATGCCAAGTTGGTAAGGAGCCGGGCTTTCCTGCGTTGAACGATGTGCGGCCGGGTGACGATCAGAAGCACTGTGAGTGTCAAGTAAATACAGCAAGCCAGATGTTCACGTACATCAATCTTCTCTCCTTGCCCAAAAGCGATCGGAAATACATCGATGTGGAGCCAGTTGCCTCCTGCGGATCTTTCGAGCAAGATACTTCGGCGGCAGGGCAGCTCCTTTGGGAGGGCATTCGGGGAGTGTGTGATCAGCAGTGGTCGCCGCCACGGGAGCCCGGGAGCCATGCGCTGTCTGGCAAAGAGATGACCCAAGCTATGCGTGCGCTCGCCAGCACGGCATTCGCACAGAACTATCAGCGGCTGTACCGCGAAGGTTGGTTGCAGCGAGGTTTCGTGAGCTACTTCAAAGGTCCGCCAAACAGTCAGCAGGCGCAATTGATGGAGCTATTGATCGATTCTGTCCATCAGTTTTCCGTCTACCCGATCGTCGTTCTGCACGTGGGTCTTGCCATTCCAATGCACTGGACACCCAGAGTGTTTCCACGACTGGTGGTCCTTAGCGTGAAGGAGCTGCCCTCGTCTGTAAAGGCATGCTCGGCAGTCCTTCAGGCGGCACTGCTTTCCCGAGTGGAGACCGGGATCTTTCTGAGCCATGACTCCCTGATTTTGCCAGGGATCGACCGACTCTACGGCACCATTGCGTCGGAGGTCACTGAAGACCACCCCTGGCCCATCATGCCAGTGCACTTCTTGGACAAAACGATGGATGACAACGAACCCTTCTGGGCCCATTTTTGTGCAAATCAGTCCTGTCCTCGTCAATCCATGCGCTGGAGCCAGCTCAGTCTCAGCTGGAGTCGCTTTTCTTTACCTTTCATTGGTAGCACGCTGCGAGCCGTCTTTCGTGATGAGACCTTTTCCGGCGAAGCGCCATATCAGCCCCTGCGGCTTCGCAAGGCCGCAGGCGCAGAGGCACCTCGCCAGCACCGAGCTCCGTTCTACCCGGGCAACAGGTAGTGATAAAGTCAGCCGTGGAAATGACATCCAATAAGGCTTGCTGAGGAGAGAAGTTGTGGTCATCGAAATGATTCTGGTTTTGGTACTGGCGAATGCAAGGAGATTGGAAAGGGCTTTGGCTACTAGAGTAGCAGTGCTGGCACGAGTCACTACGCCACTAGGCTTGAGATGGGCAGCAACACGTGATAGACGTGGTGCCCTCGGCAGTAGCGGTCGTCGTCGTGGTCGTCGTCGTCGTCGTCGTTCACGGAAACAAGGAGGCAGAACAGTGGCCCCACCAACCCATCCACTTGCCCAGGAGTTACTGAACGTGGCGCTGTGGGAAGCTGGCGCTTACAAGCAGCTGCTCGGCAAGAAACCTGGGCTTGGGTCGTGTGACGAAAGTAGTATCAAAGTGAAGTGTCAGCTGAAATGCCCAGGCTTGAAGCAGGATGAACAGAGGTACAGTGGTATTTGGGGTTTTCCGGAAAGGTGTCGGATCAATGTTTCCAGCCAAGGTGGTGCAAATTTGATCTGCCGGACATCTCGGAAGTGGAGGAATGGCTGCAGCTTCCTGCAAGCACGGCCAGATGTGAGACGTCTGTTTGTGCCCCGCTCTTGGGCGACAGGCGCTTCTACCCAGATGGTGTTCCTAAGGTTTTTGCATACCTGCGATTTACCACGGACCTTTTCCGTGCCCGGCGGCTGAAAGAGAATATCGCCCGGAAGAAGGCAGAGCACTTGCTGCCTTATCCCATCCTGGCAGGGAAGGCCTACAAGAACGCAGCAGAGCTGCGGCGCGACTGGCCGAACTTGCGGTGCTTGACGGGAGTCTGATCAGCCTGCGAAAAGACGACTATGAAGTGACCGTCCGCTCCGGAAACCGCAGCACGTTTGAAGGCGACCAAAAGCCGAGGACGGACAAGGAGGACTCTGAGGCTGGGAAGCGCAGCGACGAAGGGCAGGGAAATCGGAGCCGGACCTGTCCGGGCGTGCGACAACCTTGCGATCGCTGGTGGCAAATCGCAGTCTGTGCCTGCTGATTTCTGTTATGGCCTTGCAGCTGGAACTCATCCGAAGTGCTGCTCGCTGCGGCACATCTGGGCCAACTCGGACAAAACCTGGGCAGTTGCCATGCGCGATATGGTCCATGGTGTGCGGCTTTGCTGTGTCAGTCTTGTGCAGTGCAGAAGACAGGTGCGGCGAAAAGTAAAGTGCGACCTGCGATAATCTGTGGTTTCGTCAGCTGCCATGCGTCACCACGCGCCTCGTAAGATTTGTAAGGCAAAGGCTCCATAGTGAGTGACTTAGTTCAGTGATCTCGTGCTACGGCGGTGGTTGCAAAGTCCCGAATCTGGAGTCTTGAGGTACTCATGGTTGTGGACCTGTTAGACTTCGAAAGTTCACTGGCCGGCAGCTTGACTTCAAGCGCTGCACGTGTCGCTCTTTGTGTGAGCGCCAGTGAGAGGTGCCCGAGCTCTTTGATGCGTGTCGTAACCGTCGGTCGTTGACTGAGTTCGGCTTTACGGCCATGCTTCACGCACAGTTTTCAGAGTGTGAGCAAGAAGAGCGCTAGACGACAAGGTTTCCGGTGATCGTGGTCGTGAACAAAGTCGATTGTCTTCTAGACAAGATGCGGGACAAAGAGAAGGCCATGCAGAGCGATGCTGTTGAATCGGTTTGAATTTTGGACAGTAGAATCTTAGCAGCCCAGCTGAAATGCGCCAGGGCCTAGCACGGCTGAAAGTCTGGGTGCGACGCATGTCGCGACAGATCCGGAACGTTCACACGAACGATGTGGTGAGCTTGCTTGGTCGCTGCAGTGCATCCATTCAAGAATGCAAGACATCACTGGTACTTGTATCAGATCGCAGCTAGAGGTCCTGATCAGCTCCAGTAGTGGCCACGGCTTCAAGCAACTCGAGGAGAGATTGAGGCACGGATCGGGGCTGAAGCTTCAGTCTCCAGTCGCGTGAGAGGGGCGGAGCATGGGTGTATGTCGGTTGGTGGCTGGGTTGCTAGGTAGGTAGGGCACTGGGTAGGCAGATGGAGGTAGGTAGGTAGGTAGGTGTAGGATACAGGGTGGCAAGTAGGAAGGCAAGTAGGTGGGTTGGGCTCGGCTGACGAGACGACGCATCCCCCTTCCTTATACAGTGTAGGTAGCGAATTTTACCCGAGGGAACAACCCTCTCGGCATCATGTTAGACCATGAGAACATCCGACTTCTGAAAAGGTTCTGATTCGGATTGCAGGCCACGGGTTTGGTTCAGGAAGATTTGTGTTGAAGCTCCGACGCCCGAGTCTTCAGAAGGGACTTGCGAAGGAAGCGCTGAAGCTCTGAGCCTTCGGGAGCTTCAGAGCTTCAGCGAAGCTCGAGTCTTCTTCTTTTGCTGATTCGGGGCCTGATTCGTGTGACTCAGTGTATGCCTCCCCTGCCACAGAGCTGCGGGGACAGTGATCGTGACCTCACCTCGGCTGACTGTCTACAGAGGTACGGGTAGGAAGAACTTCGCGAATCATTTTGTCCTTTCATCTTTAGCCTCAGCAAGGGCTTCTCGTCGAGAATGGTCTGTTTGTCAAACAGGGTTTGGGCAGTGTCTGGCTTGCTTTATTGGCTTAGGGTCCATTTTCGTAGCTTCGTAGGTTGTGTGTAGCCTTCCCAGCAGTCGTCGACATGTACCCTGGGACTAGAGGCACCACCTCCTGCCAGAGGAGCCGTGCTCAAGCAAGGATTGTGCCCATCTGGCCAGTGCTTCACTGGCAGGACCCCAAGTGGATGTACGTGGTGGGCCGTGTGAATTCGGGCAAGTCTACATTTGTGAACCGCTTTTTGTGGTACATCGGCTACAAGCTCCGGACTTATTATCTTCTGATTGGCAGACTCTGTCCACTGGTGCCAAGCAGCCAGCCCAGGCATCAGGGGGCAGTCCACTACAAGCGGGCAGTGGGTGGTGTCACTCGTTCCCCTGTGACGCAAGCTCAGTGTTGTGCTCTGCAGGTGCCAGAGGAGAGCTAACAGTCAAGAGTCTTCGAGAGTGCTCTTTAGCTGTTTACGCCAGTGCAGAGATTCTCCATGCTGTTTTGTTCCTTGATCCCTGATACTGCAGTCCCAGCAGCAACAGTGCTGCCGCTTAGGCCAGGAACGACGCTGCACTTCGTGTCCTTTGGCCTGCCGAAGGTGCGAAGGTGTCGACGAGTCGCAGAATGGAAAAGAAAGTTGCACGTCGTGCAGGGATTCCGGCTGGTCGACTGTCCTGGGATTCCTTCACGTCACCAGGCGGAACTTGAAATCACAGCCGGTGATCAGCGTCTTGGCGAAGTGTTTTCAGGTCACCGCACATCTTCAGGAGGCCATGGATCTCTACGCAGCTCCATGCCTGCAGCTACCACCAACCAATGCTTCTTGCAGTGAGTGTATGCTGGCCGTCGTAGGATATCAACATGCCACTGAGGTTGTGCCGCGCAAGCGGGTAAACTCAATTTCCTACGCCTTGCATACAGGCGGGATTCTGCATCCCGTAGTGCTGTTCGGTGTCGAAGTCGGAATTCGGCCTTCTCGAGCAGGTCGCTCCTTCTTGGCAGGTGCCCTGGTTCGCATCGACCAGGTACAGGCGACCCGCGGCCTAATGTCGTCTCTGTGGAGCTGCAGAGCGATCATGTTTCTGTCAGGGAAACATCAGCTTTCTGTCGTCCTTCTTTGGCTTGAGCGTCACTCTCCACGTCTGCCGCCGGCCTGGACCGGGACCGGTGTCGGTTGACGGAAGCACTGACATTCCGTCTCCTGAGCAAGGCCAAACCTGTAAAGTGGAGGAGAGCTTCTCCAGAGTTCTAACCGGACAGACTCCACCGGCTGGTCGAGCATGTCAGGACCTGCTGAGCCGCAAAGCTGGAGACTTCTTCTACCCGCCTCACAGTCGCCACTCGTCAGACAGAGCATGCTTGCCTGTTGCGACAATTTGGGGTGGGGGTCCAAGCACAATCCTGTCCCAAGTGCCGGAAGGCAAGTGAGTGCGGCATGTTAGGAGGCCTGGGTCATTGCATGGCACGAGAGATCTGTGCAGGCGACGATTTCGAGCGGCTGGGTCCGCTGGTGCGTCACCGTGTAGAGGCGAGACGAAGCCAGGCTTGTTGCGTTTTCAGCGGCACCAGATGTCGGCGAGGTTTTCGGCAGCAGCGACCGCGCCTGGGACGACATTGCCGTGGACTTGGCTGCTCGGTCTCAGTCATAGCTACAGCAATGGCACTCTTTCGAAGGTCATCGCTGGCATGGGCGAGAACCTCAGAACCGGATGCTGTCCTGCGAGGGTACTGTAGTTCCTGCTCTGGAATGATTGCCTCAGCTGGGCCTTGGTGTGGCTTCTGCTAGGCTGGGTGTCCATCAGCGGCTACGGCACGAAAGTCCTTGACGTTTGGGTTCCCAAAGGACCCACGCTGGGTGGCACCTGCGATGCTTAACCCTCTTGTCGTGAGACTGTACCAATCCGCTTTGTGTTAAGTAGGTAGATTGCATCATATATAATCTTTGTATATACATATATATATATGTAATTTAGTTATTTGTTTTTTTTAATATATATACATATATATATGTATCTATCTATCTATCTCTATCTCTATCTCTATCTCTATCTCTATCTCTATCTCTATCTCTATCTCTATATATATATATATATGCTTGCTTGGTCCGCTAGATGCAGGACACCCTGTCCTTCGGGCTC